GGTTATCGAGTAATATTGATCTGTGAATTCAAATAAATAAAAATATAAGAATATAATATAGTTAACCCATAACGCTAAACCTCTCTTGCTTACAAGTCATTTCCTGACGGGAAAAAGGGTTTCGTCGAATAGAAAATAGAGATACTCGTCCGCTATTTTCTGGGCACGTCCTTGTCGGCCTAACAACATATAGTATCTAGTGTAGTAAGTGTCTACTCACATAATACCTTACACGAGTATACGACGCGCGTAAAATAATAATACTGTAAAATACGAAACAAAACGCGCGTAAGTTGAATTGTGTTTAGCAAATGAAAAAGGACTCACGGACATAGATGTTGGACAAGAGCGTAGCAGGCAGACAGAAGACGAGCACCAGTATGTCGGCCACGGCCAGATTGACGATAAAGTAGTTGGTGACGTTGCGCATCCTGGGCGATCGGCAGACGACAGACACCACCAGCAGATTGCCGACCAACCCGACCAGAAATACCATGGTATACGCGAAACAGTAGACAGCCGTCATGGCGGGGCTGTGCCTGTACCAGAGCTCGCCGGGGCCGATGCCACCGGAACCTCCGGCCCCCGAACCGCCGCCCATTCCGGTACCGTCGTCTTCGTCGTCGTCCACGGCCGTCCCGGAACCGTCGACGCGACCTCCGGAACCATCGCCGGATCCGTGCACAGACACGGTGGACGCCACGGCAGCTGACTCGGTGGACGAGACTGGCGCCAGCATGTCGAATAGCGAGTTGCCCAGCATATCCATCAGGCCCGGTTCGATGACCATCTTGCTATTGTTTGTCCTGCGCTCCTCGATGAACCCAACACTGCTCTTGATCCTTTTCTTCCGATTTGCAGTGATTTATTATTGTTATTATTATTACTATCTCGATTGACGAGCGTTAATAATAATATCACACCGGACACCGGTGATGACGCAGGGTTATCCGGCTGCCAACGATAATATCATTGTCCGTCCGGATAAGTGTGCAGGAACAACACTGCAAGCAGTGTACTTACGGTAAGTATCAAACATTTTATAACATACAACATAAAAATTAGGGGGGGGGGGGAGTCAGATCAGATTAGTGATCACGTCGTACTACTATATTCAAAAGCGATACTCAGTCGTGATTTTATACAGGTGTACATGAGGTGTACCTATATCCGCATCCACGAGTTCCAGCAATTACGTCGATCCCAATAGCCGTCGGGTCGACGCACTACAATACAGAAACACGGCGTGGATGTTTATGGCGATAATGCAATAAATTATTGTAATTGAGGAGAAGTATAATATATTAAATGAGAATATAGTTATTATTTTTAAATTATTTTTGATTTTTTTTTTTTTTTGCAATCTACTCAACATTTACTTACCAAGGATATATTTTCGGACAGATACCTGTTGCTGAATCTCGGGACAACGCCGTGATACAATACTCAATCGTTGCTTGCAACGTTACGTCACTGCACGCGTCGAAAGCTTGAAACGTGCACAGTATAACACATAATATACAAAAAATATATATTATGGTGTGCACGGGCGCATTTATTATCGTTGCGATTAGTATCGGAGGTGCCAATACGACGTGGTGGGTGAATGTCCGGTTAGGCGGGTAAAACGTCCGTACGGCGTGGCGCTCGGCAACCGTGTGGCGTGCGTACGTTTTCGGTTTTGCGGAACTCCCGGGCGGTTCCGCTGCCGTATATCCTCCGCCGCTCCGACCCCCGGTTACCCTTCGACCAACCCATAACAGGCCGTCGCTCTACTACTCCCAGCCCGAGTGACGACGAGCGGACGACGCCTCCACCATCACCGCCGTCCCTTTTATTTTTTTACACGCTACATCACATTATAATATATCTATACATATATAATATATATAGGCGTACATAGTCGGCTTGGGAGCCAGCCATATAGCGTTACCGTTCTGCGTGCGATAATCTCGCTTGGAATCGTTTTTTTATTCTTGTTTTTTTTTTTTATCTTCTTTTTGACCGAAGAGATGCATATTCTATATCGGCTTTACCGCAATGACGAGTGTGTGTGTATTTTTTTTTCGTTATTATAGTTATTGTTATTGTCTCTTAATCTGTGCATTGAACGTTTTTCGCGTAGCTAGAAAAGTTTTATGTACCACCTTCATGTGGATCGGAAATGTTTCAGCCTACAGAACTAGATTATGGTTTTTATAGTCGATAATAATGTATTGCCAATTTTTCAATATGAGATTAAATGTTTCACCTGTTACTTTCTTGAAAACGATACACTGTCAATTAAAAAAAAATTATAAAGTCATTTCAGGTAAAACGTGAACATTATAAAAATATAACAAAAATATAATCTGTTTTTCTGTCCCTATAAAATGTAAGTGGTATTTCACATCACTAATCTAGACGCACTACATGCACATATCGAAGATATATATGTCCCTACACAATCGTACATAGTCTCGTAATGAATACCTACTGAGAATCGTTGAAAAATTCCAAAGAAACGCCAGTAATCTCAATCCAATTATTTTTAAAACCAATTTACATTCCTCCTCGATTTACTCGCAGTCCAAGACATGATCACAATAAGCTCCTACACCTAAAAAATATACATCACTGACAGCTACAC